GAAGGCAGACGCTTAACAACTGAGCCACCCAGGCCCCCCAGATGTGTTTAAGTATTTTAAAAGGCATTTCAACAGACTTATCTGGGGGATCCTCTCTTTGATTATGTGAAAAAGCCCCTTCAGAAATAAATGAAGTTACTGTTTAAAAAAACATGGTGACACAGTTTAAGGTGCCATGTGTTTCCCCCATGGATTTCTCGTCACAGGAACCTCCTTGGTTGTGTGCAGGAGATTCATGGCAGGCTGACTGGCCCACTGGTCTACCCCGTGGCCTTCCCCCCTCAGGATGGTGTGCAGCAGTGGACAGAAAGGCTGCAGCACCTGGCCATGCAGAGCCAGATCCTGCTTGAGCAGCTCTCCTGGTTCCTCCAGTGCTGCCCCAGTGCAGGGCCAACTCCCGGCCAAGGTGAGACCCAGGCACAGGGTCAGCCTTCTGCCCCCTACCCAGAGGGACCAGAACTCACCAAGGGACTGCTTTCTGGAGCAGTACAGGACCTCATCTCATCAGAACTGAGTTACCCATCCCCAGTACCTCGAAATCAGCTGCCCTCTGGTTGCCGGATGCGGAAACAGGACCAGCTTTGGCAACAGTCAACTGCAAGATTAACAGAGATGCTGAAAACCATTAAAACAGTGAAAGCTGATGTTGACAAAATCAGGCAGCAGTCTTGTGAGACTCTCTTTCATTCTTGGTGAGTGTGTTTATGTCTGTACTGTTCTTCTGTGTGTTCGGGGGCTTGCTCAGAGTTTAGTAATGGGATAAAGTGATGAAAGGGATTTTGCTTCAGTTCTCTGTTTTTCCGTGGACCTTCATAGTGCTTTGTGGCATATGTCTAGCTGTAAGTCTTAAGATACAGTGAATTTTCCCCTGCTTACATTTTAGTGGTTGGAGGGAGGGTGTAGCCCCTTCCTCTCAACATTGTGGCATTTCTGTTGTTGCAGGAAGGATTTTGAAGTTTGCTCTTCTGGGCTGAGTTGCCTGTCCCAGATGTCAGTTCATTTGCAAGGCCTGGAGTCCTTATTCCTTATTCCAGGGATTGAGGTTGAGCAAACAGACCGACAAATGGCATTAGTTGAGAGCCTGGAATATTTAAGAGGAGAAATCAATAAAGCCACAGATGACTTTACTACCTGGAAGACACATCTGCTTGCTTTAGGCAGCCAAGGAGGTAAGGACTGTCATCGACAAGGGAGTCAAAGCCCAGGGTAGGAGTGAGGTCCTGTAGATTTAAGTCTAGACTATCCTAAAGACACCCTGTGTTTTGTTCCATACGTATATTTGCCCAGGGTTCTAAGGTGGGCAGGTGTGGTTGGAACCCACAGCTCCTAACTCTTGATACCTCATTTCTTTGAGTACCTTGCCTCTGAATTCATCATGTCACTTTGTGTAGGGAGGCAGCACAGGCTCACTCGCTGTTAGTGACCGTTCTCTCTCAGACTGAAAGCTGAGGGCTGATATTTGGACTGAGTTGGTGTTTATACACACTATCTTATCTAGATTCATATTTTTGGCATTCTTCCAGCAAAGCTTTCAATAAAAGGTGATAAACTCTTGTAGGTTTATCTAGACGAGGAAAATGTCTCATTCATCTTTGTGTTCAGCAGTTTGACATGGTGGCTCACCCACAGTAGGTGCTTGACAGGTGGCCGTTTGTAAAAAAATAACAAAGGACAATTGTTAATGATTTCCAGAGGCACTGAAACATATGATTGGAGTTTTTGTTTGTTTCCCACCATGTTACTTACTAGGAAACCAAATGTTGGAGGAAGGGTTTGTGGAAGATTTTTCAGAGCAAGTGGAAACTGCCATCCGGGCCATCCTTTGTGCCATCCAGAACTTAGCAGAGGGAAACAGTAAAAAGACAGAGGAGACCACTGACCAAATGAGACCACAGGAAGAGGATGGTATGTCTGACATCAGGCAAAAACTGTTTTTATACTTGATTCTATTTTTGTAGCTAAATATTTAAGGACCAGTATTAGGAATGATGACTGGATGAATGGAGACGAAAGGGTTTATTTTGTTATTCATCATGTCTTCCTTTTCTGTGAATGAAAGAGGCAGCAGGCTTTGAGAGACTGCAATTGGGACATCTAACAAAACTCTTAGAGGATGACCTCTGGGCGGACGTGAGCGCTCTCCATGTGCAGAAAATAATTTCTGCTGTCTCTGAGCTGTTGGAGAGACTGAAATCGTATGCTGAGGATGGCATAGCAGCGAAGCACACGGTAACCAATGGTTCTTTATAAGTTTCTTGCTATCTAGTATCTAGAGTGGGCCAACCAAAGGCAGAGTAGGTTTTTCACTTTGCTCCATGTGAATGGTCCCAGAGCAGGCCTTTGTGGCAAAAATCACTAAGAATTTGATTTCTTTACGCATGTAAACATCACTGACAAACTCTGAAAAGCTTAGGGCTTGCTAGCTAAGGGTTACAGTTGTAAGATGCACAGATGCAAAAAATGCCAGCAATCCAGAGGATCTATTATCTTGGGATTCTTTCATACCCAACCACATAGTCCTGGGTATTTGATGTTAATGTGGGTGTTGCTGCTGTCAACTAAGGCTCGATGGCCACACCCTGCAAATACCATTCCCTTCACAACAAGCCAGCAGAGGGGGCAGTTGCTGGGTCCATAATAGTCCAGAGAAGCAACTTACTTTGTAGGACATTGTGAGTCTGTAGCATTGCTTCCGGTGCCAACTTTGATTCGGAATAGAATTTGTTTATAAACATCTTACTTAAAAACAAAAATAAAAAACCTTGTTAACTAAATGAAACTTAAATGACAGAATTTAAAAGTGTACTTTTTGTGAGGGTTTGTGTGAACAGGGAAGAAATGTCAGAGAGCAGAGGGGTGTGTGTGTGTGTGTGTGTGTGTGTGTGTGTGTGTGTGTAAGAGAAAATAATACATAAAACTTACATTAGTGGCATTTAGTACATTCACAGTGTTGGGCAACGATTGTTGCTATCCAGTTGCAAAACATCTGTATTACCCCAGAGAAAACTCAGTACCCATTACGTAGTATGAGCAGGCCTTGTGATCTCTCACCTGCAGTTCTTCAGCCAGTCCTGCTGCTTGTTGGTGCGTCTGGTGCCCATGCTCTCCAGGTACTCAGACCTCGTCCTCTTCTTCCTGACCATGTCTTTGGCGACTCACCGTAGCACTGCAAAGCTGCTCTCTGTGCTTGCCCAGGTCTTCACAGAGCTCGCCCAGGAGGTAAGGACTGTTCATGGGAAGCATGCTTGGACAGCCAGTACCAAATACTCCAGACCCATTAGTGCATGGTTCCCAGGCTTTTTTGGGACCTTCACAAATAGCAGGAGGTGATTTGCTCTCCCTGTGGATTTTTCAGGGCTTTGTCCAACACCCTTTTGCTCTACCTGTTTCCACTAAGGTCTTGGAACCTGCAGGTCCCCCACTGATGGATTCCCTAGACTCCAGAGGCTGTCCTGAGCCTCAGTCTCCTCATTTGTAAAATGAGATCTGTCTACACTCCTTAGCATTTTTGTGAGAACTACTTTATTTTAGATATATACTTTGTTTTGTTTTGATTTCCTTAGTATTCTAAGATTTTCTCCAGATCTAAGTACAATACAGGCGAGAGTCACTTGAGGAATATAGGAATTTACAAACTGAAGATGGCATCTAGCCTTCTTGTAAATAGTAAAGCGTTCTTACTTCTGACTAGAGGATAAATGTTTTATTTGTTGAGTAATAAATAAATGAATTAGTCCAATTTGCTCCCTCTATCCGATGGGCACTGAGCCAGTGTCACATCCCATCACTCCTTGGAGTCCTGCCACTGTGTGCAAAAGACAGTGGCAGGACAGTGTATGGTGAGGGTGCCCTGGGATTTGGATTGGCTGTGTTTGTCCAGTTGTGCTCTTGCTCTTGTCTGACAGGCTCTAGAATGACTTTGGCCTGTGCTTTGAGGTGGGGTATAGGGGTTCTGATAAAAGCAAAGTGTTAGGAGCCCTTTGGCTGTTCTAGACGTAGCTCCTGTAGTGATGTCCCCTCCTCCTGTATGGTTGTATTCTGCCTATACCAAAACCTATTTTAAAACAATGTAGCTCAATGGGAAAATTAGGTAGGTTAACCAAAACATATTTTTCAATCAACATCTAAGAATACATGTCTGTTCAAGTTGTATTCATATCCTTTCTGAGTAGTCCTGAGGGAAATTGAAAGTAGGTTACACTCAGTGCTAAGGTAATAGATCGAGGTTGTAATTACAACACCTAATCCACGGAAAGCTATTTCTATGTAACTAAGTCACAATCAGTGACTGGTGTGGGGATCTTAATTCCTTTTTAGTTGGCAGCTGATTTTTTAGCACTTTTTCATCCTAAGATTAACAAATAACTTGATAGCTTGTCTGATAAAATTTCTGATTGAGAACCACTATTTTCTTCTACTTGTTTTTCTGTTCATTTTTGTCCCACATCCTAGTAGTTGATTTTCCTTTTCAAACTATTTTCCAACACAAAACACTTTTATCTTAACCCTTCACATGTGTTTCTTTGTCTGATCTTGTTCTTGACTCTCGACCCCATGCTGTGCCAGCTGCCTTGGCAGAAAATGCCAGATGTAGCACGTACACCAAGAGTGACAGTTTTACCTCAAGAGTTGAGGGGGAGGCATTTTTTTTAATATTAAATTTAACATTTTACTTGCACATCACACCAAACTTTCTTCAGTTTTTGAAGTAAAAATGAAATCTCCCGCTGTGGCATCTGCTTCAAGTTGCTCTATCTCCAGGGTTACAAGTCTTCTCTCCCTCCACTCTTTCTTCTCAGGCTTACTAACTTGAGAAGTAAATAAAGAAGGACGAAATCCCTTTGGGATTTAGACATCGAGAGGTTCTACCCTTACTCAGTGACTTGCTCCTAAATACTGTCCTAGCATAATTCATTCTGATTTTTGTCTTGCCAAATGAAATTACTACACACCAGAGGGCCTCTACGAAGTCAAACCTTCCATGTTAAATATGATGTCAAGCTTTGAAACTGCATAGTAACTTATCAGCAAGGAAGAATGTCAAAGGTCTACTGGATGTATTTCCATCAGATTGAAAATACTGAGCTAGAGGAAAGCTAAAACAGTTTTTTTTCCTGTCTTTTGTTGCTTTTGTACCTAATTGTTCACTCTTATTTTTAAGGGATTTTGCCTGCCCAAAGAATTCATGGAAGATTCAGCAGGAGAGGGAGCAACTGAGTTCCATGACTATGAGGGAGGTGGTATTGGGGAAGGCGAGGGCATGAAAGATGTGAGTGACCAGATAGAAAATGAAGAACAGGTATGTTTTCACATGCCTGAAACATGCACACAGTTTACAGAAACTCACTCCCTTTTCCCTTTCTTTTCAATATTAAATTTTACACGCGAATGTTTTTTACTAGGTTAATGGTTTTCAAACTGTGATCCAAGGAGCCCTAAGAATACTAAAGCTTTAGGGAGTGGGTGTAAATAAAAAGCTAAAAGACCACAGAAAGGAACTTTGCAGCTCAGTTATTAGTTATGGCTATAATTTGAAAGGGAAATTATTAAAAATTTTTTATTTTAAATGGGGGAGATCTTTGCTGATGATTTTTCTGGAGTAATTTTGGTAGTGGCTCATTTAAGGATAACAAAATTTAACTATTTTAAGTAACAAATGCATTAAATAATAATGCCAGTGTTTACTATTAAGAGGTTTTATTGTATGTCTTTAAGACCTGTTGAAAAATTTTAATCTGTATCCTCTTTTGGTGGGAATCAAGAATGTTTTTTTGAAATAGATGCTCTGGGTTAAGATTGTTGTGCTGCTTTTTTAAATTCCTATCTCATTTGGGAGTGATTTTTTTTTTTCCCCATACTATTAAGAGATAATGGAATTTCTTTTTAGCACCTATATTCTAAGTCTAAAGCAGACCATAAATTTTTATTTAAGGTATGGTTATAGCCATTAAAAATAAAGGAGCAAACCAATTCAAATTTCTTCTCATCCTTTGAAGGGGAAACTGGAAAGAGAAACCAAAAGAGTTATGCTAGTGTTGATGTGGTAGAGCTCTGTTTAATACACATACATTTTAAATTTGGCTTTTCTGTATTTCTCAATTTTAACTTCGTCAACAGTACTTTTCTCATGGAAAAAAATTAAAGCAAAAAAATTACAAACTTAATAGGAAAGTGCAATCCAAAGCAAAAAACATTAAGGTGGGATAAAAGGCATCAGAACAATTTGGCAGTATCTCATAAATTTTAATTGTGTGTATTCTTTGACTTAAGAATTCCATGTTTTCTGATAGAAATGCTAATAAGGATCAAAGATAAGCGTATGAAGGAGTGTTTTTTTGTACAAGGATATTCCCTTTAGCGTTATTTGTAACGGTGAAAATTGTGAAAGGATCCAAATATTTATCAGGAGGAAATTGTTTAAATTATGATACCATCTATGCAGAACAGTGCTATAAGTTAGAATGAGATAGATTTATATGTATCAACATGGAAATATATCTATGGGACATTTTTAAATTTTATTTATTAATTTCTTTTTAAAGATTTTTTTATTTATTCATTTGAGACGCAGTAAAACTGGAAATTACAGACATATTAAAGCAAACCAGAAATTATTGTGTGTGGTTATCCCTGTTGGTTCTCCTTTTTTTCTCTCCCCAGAGTTAACTTTTACCATTAATGTTGGCATTTAAATATTTATATTCTATTTAGAGTTGAATAAACATTAGCAAAGTTACGATGTTTATTTTTTCTATGCTACTTTTTGATATAGGCAGAAGATACATTTCATAAAGGTCAAGAAAAGGATAAAGAGGATCCTGACTCAAAATCAGACATTAAGGGCGAGGATAATGCCATTGAGATGTCAGAAGACTTTGATGGGAAAATGCATGATGGGGAACTTGAAGAACAAGGTTTGCGATTATCTGTCACTTCATTCTTGTTTTTAAAAAATATTTTATCTAAAATATATATGTATATATATATTTTATCTAAAATATATATGTATATATATATTTTATCTGGGAAATTACATGTTCCCAATAAGGAGCCTATTATAATCTTTTGGAACAAGTTTATTACTCTGCATAACTGCAAATGAAAACATCAGCATATGCATGTTTCATTACTCTCTCCAATGAAGCAGAAATCTAGAGTTAGTTTTGGAGATTCTTCTGAGTAAACTGAGACATTGACTGGTACTTTGGCTGCCTTATGTGCTAGATGCAGTGATGGAATCCCCTTCAGGGAAGCCTGAAAGAGCAAGGAGAGAGATCTCTAACAGAGCTTGGCACTCAGCTCAAAAGTAAATTGGTCAGAGTAGTTTCTTAAAAAAACAAAAACATAAAAACAGTAGACATTTGTTACAGATGATTTGGAACAAGAGTGCAGGAGTGAAATAGATAGCCCTTAGGCTTACCACCCAAACCACTTAATAAACTTTATTTTTTCCATATAGTACATATGTGCACTCTATGTGTGTGTGTGTATACACACACATACACATACACATACACACATGCACCATAAGTAGTTCCATAGTTTGCTTTTTTTCTTTATCCTTTTTTTAGAAAGTGGGGGTAAGGGGCAGAGAGAGGGAGAGAGAGAATCTTAGGCAAGCTGCATGCCCAGTGCAGAACCTGATGCAGGGCCTGATCTCACAAGCCTGAGATCATGACCTCAGCCAAAATCAAGAGTTGGACGCTTAACCGACTGAGCCACTCATGCGCCACTATAGTCTGCTTTTTTCATTTAACATGAACATTCCCCTCTCATTACAAATGGTTTGAGAATGTGATTTCTTTTTTTTTTTTTTTAAGATTTTATTTATTTATTTGAGAGAGAGAGAATGAGAGACAGAGAGCATGAGAGGGAGGAGGGTCAGAGGGAGAAGCAGACTCCCCGCCGAGCAGGGAGCCCGACGCGGGACTCGATCCTGGGACTCCAGGATCATGACCTGAGCCGAAGGCAGTCACTTAACCGACTGAGCCACCCAGGCGCCCGAGAATGTGATTTCTTATGGCACATCATCACCTGTCATATGTTTGTTCCGTAATTCAGTTATTGCCCTAAATTTCTGTCCAGAGCTTAATTTGAGATATCCTGTCTTATTGTAAGTGAAGTTCTTGCAGAAATGAAAGTTGACTGTAGAGCAGAAAAGTACACACTTGCCTAAGCAGCATAAGAATATAACCTTTGGCACAGTAGACCTTGAGCAAAAACAATGGCAAGAAAATTTTGATTGAGTTAGACACATGATGTTAGATGTTGGATAAAATAGAAGTGTATAGTATGTTGGAGATGGGGAGAAACCTTGGAAATCATTTAAGTCTTTCATTTCACAGATAAGAAACCAAAACCCAGGGAAGTTGCTGAGCCTCATAATGAATATTCCCCCCAGCATCAGAAGTAGACACCTTGACAGCTATTCCACCACCCTTCTGTTTGTTAATATCCCACATTACAGACTTCTTTTTTCCTTCAAATCGTTTGTAAAACACAGTAGGACTACTTCAGCAGATCTAAAGGCATCTGCCTGTACAGTGTTCTGTAAGCACAAGCAGTAAATCTCAGGTGGGGCACTTGCCAGTTAGTGGGGTCCATGCCTCTTCTGCACACATGGACCAGTCAGTTTGGGGATTTGCCTGACTAAGCTCAGTGCCTTCCCTTTCAGAAGAGGATGATGGGAAATCAGATAGTGAGGGCGGAGACCTGGATAAACAAATGGGCGATCTGAATGGTGAGGAAGCTGACAAACTAGATGAGAGGCTTTGGGGTGATGACGACGAAGAGGAGGAAGATGAAGAGGAAGAAGACAGTAAAACTGAAGAAACAGGACCAGGAATGGATGAGGTAATTAAAAGACTCCCCCCATCCTGTAGTCCCCAGGTTGAGAGGAGACATTCTTCCCACCAGCTACCACTCCGTCATTTACTGCTGTTCCTTTTCTTTGTTTTTCTTCTTTCTTTCATCCCTCTTTTTTTTTCCTCTTTGATCTATCTTACTTGATTGTATTCAGAACCAGAAGAATGGTCTTATCTGGGCCGTCCCATGTGTTATGGAGGAGGGAAGTTAAGAAGACTCAGTGCAAATGCTTTGATTCTGCTGTTGACGACTGAACTTCTCCAGCTCTCTGCTTAGGAGAAGTTCAGGGCTGAGTGGGACTCCCCAGCAGCATAGTGTGACCCATTCCACTGTTCACACACCTGCTATTACTGTGGCTGTCTGGACCAAGCCAGACTGCTCTTTCCAGGTCATGAAGGACACCCTGTCAGCTGGATATTTCCATGGCATTGGCCCAACAGGCAGAAATTCTACATGCCTAAGAGCTACTTTAGGTAGAATCAACCTATATGAAAGTAGTTTCTTAGATTGAGAGTAATGATTTTGTGGTTTTTTTCTTCCTTTGACATTTAGGAAGATTGTGGACTTGTTGCCAAAGATGACAACTTGGATGCTGGGAAGTCAAACAGAAATAAAAGCCAAGATAAGAAGGAAGAAAAGGAAGAAGCAGAAGTTGCTGATGATGGACCGGGCCAGGACAAAATTAATGAACAAATAGATGAGGTGATGAGGATTTGAAACCCATCCACCCCTGATTCCAGGCCAGGGCTGTCACACCACACAGCTCCTGGGGAGTCTCACGACATTTTTTTTTTTTTTTTCCTATTCATCAATTGTTTTCCCATTGCCTCATAAAAGAACATGTAACAAAGTCTCTTAACAGGACATAAAATATCTAATACTTGGTTACTAATGAGGTGGTCTTCATGCTGTTTGGGCTCATGCTGGAGTTTGGAAGCTCAGTTCTGTTACTCTTTTCCATATATCTCCTCATAAACTTTAGTTTCCTTTTTGAAATTAAGTAACACAGTACCTCTTATCGGTGGAGAACTTGCATAGAAAGTGAAGTTTGAAATTCCAGCATGAAAATTCTGGAAGCATTAGTAAAATTCTAAAGTGTGGGGGAAATTTTAGAGAAGAGACTTTGTATTCTTTTAGCATTACTGCTTAGAGCTAATTATATGCAGATGCTACTTTTTAAAAAAGTTTTCTTTTTTCCTGTTCTCTCCATTGTCCAAAGAGGGAATATGATGAGAATGAGGTAGACCCTTACCATGGCAATCAGGAGAAGCTGCCAGAACCTGAGGCCTTGGACCTTCCAGACGACTTGAACCTAGACAGTGAAGACAAGAATGGTAGTGAGGACACAGACCATGAAGAAGGAGGTGTGTCTTTCAAAACCTAAAGAGACCAGTTGGAATTCACTGAAAATGAGCAGTAACCAATTTCTTCATGCCATATCATGGCCAGGTCATAAATCATGTCTGGTCAGCTCAGTTCCAGTTTGAGAAAATTGTTTGCTTTGTCTCTGTAGTGTTTCTCACCTGAGTTAGACTTAAAGAGTAAGCTAAGTAGAATTAAAGTAAACCAGCACGTTTTTGTCATTAATGTCCTCTCCTGTCCTGTGTTTTAGCAATACGGTACCTGGGTGGTGCTTCATCCCACAGAGCTTCATTTCCCCACCACCATCTTGATGTCCCATGTCATGGGTTGATGTAAACACTGCAGTCTGGGAATATGTAGGCCTCTTGTGGAGCCTAGTTTCAGCTCTCTTAGAGAAATGATTGTTTCAGTTATTGATTGCTATGCTTATGTTATGTGTTTAGTTTGAAATATGAAGTCATTGTTATGGGGAATGAAATTGAATAATCAAGAGAAATCACATGGCACTTGACAGTAATCTGCCTGTCACCCACTGTTCAGTTTGAGTGACTTCCCTAGGGAGAGCTGTCTGGTATTGGAAGCATTGTAGAGAAAATGCCCCTATAATAGAAGGTCCCCAGTCATGGTGGGTAATCACACAGAAAGATAGGAGCTAGCCTCACTCTGCTTCATAATGAATCGGTTACATAGATAAGCTATTAAACTTTTTTACTATCTTTTTTTTTTTTAAAGATTTATTTATTTGAGAGAGCGAGAATGAGAGAGAGAGAGAGAGTACATGAGGCGGGGGAGGGTCAGAGGGAGAAGCAGACTCCCCGCTGAGCAGGGAGCCCTATGCGGGACTCGATCCCGGGACTCCAGGATCATGACCTGAGCCGAAGGCAATCGCTTAACCAACTGAGCCACCCAGGCGCAAGCTATTAAACTTTTTTAAACACCATATTGGACAAAATTAGCAAGTTATGAAAGAGGTACCATTTATATAAAAGTTTAATATTATATATTATTAATAGGTACATCAAATGTAGGAAAACATAGGAATAAAACACAACTTCAGGTTATGGTGACCTCTGAGGAAGTAGGAAGGGCAGAGGCATCCAGAATCCATATAGTTGTACCCAGAACCACTTATTTCTTAAAACAAGTAACTGAAGTTTCATATAAATATGACAAAATATTTATATCTGTTAAATCTAGGAGGTAAGTATATGGCTCTTATAATTTTAAAATGCAGTTATCATGCTTTAAATTTAATTTAGTAATTTAAATTTGTGAACTTGCTATTTAACCAGAAATCATTTGGTTGAAGATTTGATAGAGGCTTTCCTCATGCTAAGAACAAGTCTTCACTCTCTGAATCTCTAGCTTACTTTTTTTGTTGTTTTCATTTTCCTATAGCTTTATTAAGAAAGCTAAAAGAAAATCTCCCAACGTCTATGAAGGCCAGACTTCTTATATTAAATTCTAGCTAAATTTTGGGGTGCCTGGGTGGCTCAGTCGGTTAAGCTTGTGTTCCCTCTCTTGCTGTGTCTCTCTCTGTCAAATAAATAAATAAAATCTTAAAAAAAAATTTTTTTTTTATTTAGGAGAGTGAGAGAACACGAGAGGGGGGAGGGTTAGAGGGAGAGGGAGAAGCAGACTCCCCACTGAGCAGGGAGCCCAATGTGAGGCTTGATCGTGGGGCTCGATCCTGGGACTCCGGGATCATGACCTGAGCCATAGGCAGACGCTTAAATGATTGAGCCACTCAGGCACCCCTAGGAATGTTCTTTTAATAAATAAAACTTTTCCAAATAGGATTATTTCCATTGAATGTATGTTGTATTTTCTGTGTATGATAAAGAAGGATGTCTGTCAATTATTCCGAAGGATAATATCCTTTCCTATCTTTGGTTTCCTATTGTTGTGTTGGCTTTTAGGATTTTTTTAGTGGATTACTTAGAATTTTTTTAGTGAAATGCACCATCCAGACAATTGTATGTAACAGATACATACAATTTAGAGCAGGGGTAAGCAAACTTTTTCTGTAAAGGGTCAGATAATATAATTTATAGGCCATAAACTGCAACAAGGGTTGCAAAAACTCCATTCTGTTTTTGTAGTAATATGAAAGCAGCCATAGGCAATACAGAATGGGTGGGCTAAACACAAAGGTAAGCAAATAGATGTGTCTATATTCCAGTAAAACTTTATTTACAGAGGCACATCAGCCAGATTTGGCCCTGGGGGCCATAGTTTGCCAATTCTTGGTTCGAGACTAATAATAAAATTTGTGTAACTCGATCCCATGTTAAATCATGTTGAATTCTTTGTTTTTTGTTGTATCTATCTAGAAGAAAATCCTTTGGAAATTAAAGAAAAGCCAATGGATACTGAAGAAGCAGATCCTAAAGCTGAGGAAATAAAGGAAGAGATCGAGGCTGACCATAGTGAAGGTCAGGGTCAACATGAGCCTGAGGAAGGCCCCAGTGAAGAGGAGAAGGGCGAGGGGGAGGAAGAGATGGACACAGGAGCTGATGACCAAGACAAAGATACTGCTGAACATTCTGAAGAAAACTCCGAGGATGAGCGGCAGTCTCTGGAGGACAAGGACAAGGAAGCCAGTGAGGACAGTGCAGAGAATGGTGTTCCTGTTGACCAAGGTCTCCAGCCCCAGGTGCTGTGGAGTGTCTGGCTTGTCTCAAGTTAAAAGTAATAGGAGAGATTACTTTATTCCTAGCAGAATCTTTTAGGATACTTCTCTATCACCAGGTGGTGTTGCTGAGCAGCATTAAGTTTCTGTTTAAGACCCTTCTGCCTGATACCCTCCATGCATGCTGAGGAGTAGGGCACCTGCTTGTTGCAGGAACCCCCCCACCCCCCCACCCCCATCCACCCCGCTGCCTCATATTCTTCCCCCAGAGCATGTCAGTGTGGTGTCTGCTTACCTTGCAGAAGCAAGAAGAAGAAGACGGGGAGAACTCAGACACAGGGGAGCAGGTGCCAGAGGCCACGGAGAGGAAAGAGCACGACTCCTGTGGGCAGACCGGGTTGGAGAGCGTGCAAAGCGCACAGGCTGTGGAGCTGGCTGGAGCCGCACCTGAGAAGGAGCAGGGAAAGGAGGTGATAGGCCCTCATTACCTCTGCGGCTGCCTCTAGGAGGGTCTCTTTTCCCTGGGTGAAATCACCATCTATTTAGCAGTAGTTGGTATATGTGTGATGTTGTTCTGTTGACATCTAAAGAGCTCATCTTCCATCCTTTGAGAAAGTGATTGGATACCTACTTTTATGTGCATCTCAGAACAGACCCTAGAATATTGGCTACACGCCGGACTTAAGTATTCTGCTTAAAGAGAAAGAGCTGTTAGACTGGTAGTTCTTCATGGCAGAATCAGGTTCATGTTATTTTTTAGAAAGCCCCCAAGTAAAGATAGGTTGAATTTAGACTTTAGAGCCAGTACTGTGCTTCTAATAGTAGTTCCCTTTTCCTTGCTGTCCACCAGGCTCTAAAGGGGTTTTTTTGTTTGTTTGTTTTAAGAGAGGGAGAGGGAATGAGCACATGAACGTAGGGGGAGGGGCTGAGGGAGAGAGAAAATCTTGAACAGGCTCCAGCTCCCAGCACAGAACCCAACCCAGGACACAATCTCACAACCCTGAAATCATGACCTGAGCCAAAATGAAGAGTTGATGCTTAAATGACTGAGCCACTCAGGCGCCCCTCTAAAAGTTTTAATTTAAAAAGCAAAGCACTTTGTTCCTTGAGCCAGAGTTATATGTTCTGTTTATGACCACAGTTCAGGCCACTGGCATGCTGTGGAAAGAGCACTGAAAGTCAGAGGACCTGCTGCTTACAGTGGTAACTCTGAACAGCTCCTTAAGCTTTTTTGAGTGCAGTTTTCTCACCAGTAATAATACCTGCTTATACTTCTTGTACACCCCCCACCACATTTATTGAGCACCCATTAGGTAGGTGCTAAGCATTTTCATTACTTCAAGTCCTCATAATAGTCCTCTAAGACAGCTGATTGTTGTTACTACTTTCTCCATTTTATATTTGAGTTAAATAAGCCGCAGTAAAGTGAAATGACAGTCTCAGGGGTACATAGGTGGTTGATGGCAAAGCATGGTTTCTGGTTGAGGTCTGTCCTGCATTCAGAGTAAGCCATTACAGTCCTGGAAACAAGGAACTAATCAGCCTTACACAGCAAAGTCACTCAAGAGGGTAACATCTATATCTAGATGCTCTTGCTTTTGCCCACAGTCCAGGCCTTAGTCATGGGTGAGTTTCCAGAGCAGGGAGGCAGGTATTGTATGACTCAGAGAATAATGGAGAAGTTTTTTGCAATATGGCGCAGTAACCAGGTGCTCGTACAGCATCTTCCAACCCTCATTCTCTTGTGGCTTGGATTTCATAGGAACACGGGAGTGGAGCTGCGGACGCAAACCAGGCAGAAGGCCATGAATCCAACTTCATCGCCCGGTTGGCTTCCCAGAAACAGACCAGGAAAAACACACAGGTCTCTAGCCCTCTTCAGCTGAACTTAGGTGCAGTTTGCCTGGGAAAAGATGCCCTGAGTACAGTGGTTTAAAAACAGCAATGCCCCCAGGCTTGGCTGTCTCACCAAACATGATGGCAGCCATCGCAAGCAAATCAGGACCCTGGGCTTCTTCCCTGTGGGGGTGTGTAGACACACACACACATACACACACACACAGCCCCCTCCCTATTCCTGTATGCAGCCTAAGAGCCAGGTGTTGGCTGCTATTGCCCAGTACTAGCCAGTCTTTCTTCCCTGTCCTTACTCTTCTGTGCTTTAAAAATTAGGTTTTTAAAAAAGATTTTATTTATTTGAGAGCACAAGTGTGAGTGGGGCGAGGGGCAGAGAAAGAGAGAATTCCAAGTGGACTGTATGCCCAGCGCAGAACCTGACACAGGGTTCTATCTCATGATCCATGAGATCAAGACCTGAGCCAAAATCAAGAGTCAGATGTTCAACTGACTGAGGCACCCAGGCGTTCCTAAAACTTAGGGTTTTTTTTGAATGGGGTATAATTCATGAACATGAAATGAAGTTCATATATAAAAAGCAATCCCCTAAAAAGCTTCCATCTTATTCCTGTCCTCAAGCCACACAAGAGAAGATTGGTGGTACCAGTTTTGTCTTGTTTTACACATATTTTTGCATATGTAACTTATGGATGTCTGTTTCTTCCTTGCCTTTGTTTCAGATATAAAGTATATCATACAGATCGTTCTATATTTGTGTATAGAGATCTGCCCATTCTTTTTTTTTTTTTTTTAAGATTTT